TCAGAGTAAATTATAGCATTAAGGTATATGTTTTGTGCCAGGTAATTTCTCATTTGCAACCCCTTTAAAATATACCAGCATGATAGTATTTGAAATCAGGGAGTGAAATATGACTTCTGGTTAAGTGGAGAATTGTGCCGTTGGTTTCTGGAATACTTTAAGCAACCTTAAAAGGACCCATTTTGTGTAGAATATTGAACTTTCTTCAATTTATAAAAATTCACATTCACTGAGTAGTACTTGATTAGTCACCTGAGTTCAGTAGCGCTCCTACTGATTTTGCTTCAGGATTCAGATTTACTTTCTAGCCCAGATGATGTTAGGATCGATCATTACCATGCTTAATATACATTGTACTGATCTTGTGCTTCCAACTAGAATAAATAGCAATAGAGAAATCAAACCTGAATGTCTGGGCAAGAGTTTGGTGACTGGCTGAGGACTGGAGTCCCTGGAGCAGAAGCATGTTCATAGTCCCGGGGCACCGGAGCCTCTACCCAGAGCTGCTCAAGTGTCCAAGTCACCCAGCCCCTTCCTCCTAAAAGCCATCTGTTCCTGACTTCTTTAATGCTGAGTTTCAAACTAGAAAAACAGGAAGATAATTATTCAGATAAGCACTTGAAAGTAGATTTGAAATCTTTATTTTTCCTCAGTGGTGATGGTGGTTCTGTCGCTCAATCGTGACCAACTCTTTGCGACCCCATGAACTGCAGCATGCCAGGCTTCCCCGTCCTTCAGTATCTCCCAGAGTTTGCTCAGACTCCTGTCCGTTGAGTTTAGTATTTTCTCTTTATTCTGAATTGATGGTACCTTTCCTCAGTATTGTAGCTGTCTGTACTTCTAAAACCTCCTCAGCGGCAGTTGACCAAGGTGATCACTGTTCTCTTTTCTAAGCACTTCATTTACTTGACTCCCTGGACACTGAATTCTGGTTGTGCCTCTATCTCGTGGGCTGCCTTGTCAGTCTCCTTCGTGGGCTTCTTCAGAGGATCTGATTATTTAACATTGTTTTACCTCAGGGCTCATCCCTGGCACCTCTATTTATGACTGGTGATTTCTTGGCTAAACAGCTTTAGAGGCCATACAATGCAGATGATTTCCAGATTGTTATCCACTAGGCTCCTGAGCTTAGCGTATCATGTAGATACTCAATAAGTAACTCAAACTTAACATCTTCAAAACTAAGCTTCCAATTATTCCACTCTGGCAACAAATAAAACCTGTTCTTACCCATCTCAGTTAATGCTGACATTTTACCCGGTCTTGGGCCAAAAAGTAAAACCTTGTACTTTTCTTTCTTTAAAATACTGCATCTGTTTATTTAGCTAATTCTTTTTGTTACACCTTCCAAATTCATTCACTGTGTGGCCCCTTTCCATTACCTTCCTTGCTATTCCTATCTCTACCATCACTTTTTGTAGCATTCCTGCCACAGTCTCTTTATAGGAATCACAGTTAAGACTTGTTCTTTTGTTGAGGTTTTTGTGCTTATTTCCTCTGCCTGGATTACACTTTCTGTTGTAACCTCCATGACTTTTTCTCTTAACTACCCTTGATCTTTAGACAGATGTTGTTGTTCAGTTGCTAAGTCGTGTCCAACTCTTTGCAACACCAGGCTTCTCTGTCCTTCACTATCTCCTGGAGTTCGCTCAGATTCATGTCCATTGAGTCAGTGATGGTATTTAACCATTTCATCCTCTGTCATTCCCTTCTCCTTCTACCTTCAGTCTTTCCCAGCATCAGGTACCTTTCCTCAGTATTGTAGCTGTCTGTACTTCTAAAACCTCCTCAGCGGCAGTTGACCAAGGTCATCACTGTTCTCTTTTCTAAGCACTTCATTTACTTGACTCCCTGGACACTGAATTCTGGTTGTGCCTCTATCTCGTGGGCTGCCCTGTCAGTCTCCTTTGTGGGCTTCTTCAGAGGATCTGATTATTTAACATTGTTTTGCCTCAGGGCTCATCCCTGGCACCTCTATTTATGACTGGTGATTTCTTGGCTAAACAGCTTTAGAGGCCATACAATGCAGATGATTTCCAGATTGTTATCCACTAGGCTCCTGAGCTTAGCGTATCATGTAGATACTCAATAAGTAACTCAAACTTAACATCTTCAAAACTAAGCTTCCAATTATTCCACTCTGGCAACAAATAAAACCTGTTCTTACCCATCTCAGTTAATGCTGACATTTTACCCGGTCTTGGGCCAAAAAGTAAAACCTTGTACTTTTCTTTCTTTAAAATACTGCATCTGTTTATTTAGCTAATTCTTTTTGTTACACCTTCCAAATTCATTCACTGTGTGGCCCCTTTCCATTACCTTCCTTGCTATTCCTATCTCTACCATCACTTTTTGTAGCATTCCTGCCACAGTCTCTTTATAGGAATCACAGTTAAGACTTGTTCTTTTGTTGAGGTTTTTGTGCTTATTTCCTCTGCCTGGATTACACTTTCTGTTGTAACCTCCATGACTTTTTCTCTTAACTACCCTTGATCTTTAGACAGATGTTGTTGTTCAGTTGCTAAGTCGTGTCCAACTCTTTGCAACACCAGGCTTCTCTGTCCTTCACTATCTCCTGGAGTTCGCTCAGATTCATGTCCATTGAGTCAGTGATGGTATTTAACCATTTCATCCTCTGTCATTCCCTTCTCCTTCTACCTTCAGTCTTTCCCAGCATCAGGATCTTTTCCAATGAGTCAGCTCTTTGCATTACATGGCCAAAATACTAGAGCTTCAGCTTCAGCTTCATTATCTTTAAATTTTCCTTTTCAAAATTGCAAGCACTCCTACCTGGACAGAAATTTCTCTCCTTTTCACTGGATTATGACTATCACATTTATTATCATTATTATACTACATGCTTAAATGACTTATTAATTTTCAATGTCCATTTGATATAAGTTGCATGGGACAGAAATCTCTACCTTTTATTATTTTATATTTCCAGTGTCTGGAACAACACTGGGCCATTGAATTTTTCCTGCATTTTCTGGCAGTCATATGAAAAGCAGAAATATGACCTATTATATAATCCTCATTATCATGGATAATGGTGCCTGTAATAAAATCTTGGAAAAACAAAGTATTGCCTTGCATTAAATTACATAAGAAATATATAGAGTGGATCTTACAAGGTATCAAGGAAGCAACATGAAGAATGATGCTCTGACAATAAATCCAGTGATATTGCTCCTATCTTTACTTTTAACTTTAATTGTACTTAACGGCTGAGGGTATAACATGAAAGTTATGTTTCCAAAAAATAGAATTCTTTCCTATTTAAATAATTTTGAAATATTTAAAAGATTTCAGAAAGTAAAAATTACCATAATAATAGGGACAAGTAAATGCTTTATGGCTTGTGATTCACTATCAGTTCGGTCACTCAGACATGTCCAACTCTGTAACCCCATGAACCGCAGCACGCCAGGCTGCCCTGTCCATCATCAACTCCTGGAGTTCACCCAACTTATGTCCACTGAGTCGGTGATGCCATCCACTCATCTCATCCTCTGTCGTCCCCTTCTCCTCCTGCCCCCAATCCCTCCCAGCATCAGGGTCTTTTCCAATGAGTCAACTCTTCGCATGAGGTGGCCAAAGTATTGGAGTTTCAGCTTCAGCATCAGTCCTTCCAATGAACACCCAGGACTGATCTCCTTTAGGATGGACTGGTTGGATCTCCTTGCAGTCCAAGGGACTCTCAAGAGTCTTCTCCAACACCACAGTTCAAAAGCATCAATTCTTCGGCACTCAGCTTTCTTTATAGTCCAACTCTCACATCCATACATGACCACTGGAAAAACCATAGCCTTGACTAGACGGACCTTTGTTGGCAAAGTAATGTCTCTGCTTTTTAATATGCTGTCTAGGTTGGTCATAACTTTCCTTCCAAGGAGTAAGCGTCTTTTAATTTCATGGCTGCAATCACCATCTGCAGTGATTTTGGAGCCCAAAAAAATAAAGTCTGACACTGTTTCCACTGTTTCCCCATCTATTTCCCATGAAGTGATGGGACCAGATGCCATGATCTTAGTTTTCTGAATGTTGAGCTTTAAGCCAACTTTTTCACTCTCCTCTTTCACTTTCATCAAGAGGCTCTTTAGTTCTTCTTCACTTTCTGCCATAAGGGTGGTGTCATCTGCATATCTGAGGTTATTGATATTTCTCCCGGCAATCTTGATTCCAGCTTGTGCTTCTTCCAGCCCAGCATTTCTCATGATGTACTCTGCATATAAGTTAAATAAGCAGGGTGACAATATACAGCCTTGACGTACTCCTTTTCCTATTTGGAACCAGTCTGTTGTTCCATGTCCAGTTCTAACTGTTGCTTCCTGACCTGCATACAGGTTTCTCAAGAGGCAGGTCAGGTGGTCTGGTATTCCCATCTCCTTCAGAATTTTCCACAGTTTATTGTGACCCACATAGTCGAAGGCTTTGGCGTAGTCAATAAAGCAGAAATAGATGTTTTTCTGGAACTCTCTTGCTTTTTCGATGTTCCAGTGAATGTTGGCAATTTGATTTCTGGTTCCTCTGCCTTTCCTAAACCAGAATTACTTAGCTATTAAAATTCATGTTTTCAAAAAATTTTGGATTTATAACACTAGAACATCAAAATGTCTCCCTGTTATCTTTCTATTTATGGAATTTTAACTTGAATATAATGCACCAGAATATTACCTGTAATTTTGTCTGATTGTAAGATTATGGATGACTTTATTTTATTCTCTTTTGTAGGTTTCCAGAAAAAACTGTAGTTTGTAGAAATTTTATAATGGTAACAGAAGTAATAAATAGAATTTTCAAGTGTTAAATGCTTTTATATGTGCATTTTACTTTTTGTTGCTTGATAACAATGATTTATATTTTGCCAGTCTTGAATACACCACTAGTGATTTAATGACAATAATTTTCAATGCAGATATTCAATATGTTTTCACCTAACTTGTTTTTCAAGCAAGTTTTAAGAGTACCTATCGGGATTGTATTTTGTTCCCCTACAGACAGCCTTTTGATTGATTATCAGTTTACATTCAGCTTATTACAGGAAGATGATCGCCACCATACTGCCATAAACTTCATAGCAAACCCAGAACAGGTGAGAAGATCATTTAACTTTTATAGTGTAGTTATATCAATGGATGCAATGTTTTCTATGTTTCTTTGTAATTGTGCCTCTTCTTAGAATTATCACACTGTAGGGCTTTTGTAGAAAAATTAATTCTATTAGGTTTTTCTTTTCATATAACCTAAGCATCTTTGTAATCAGAGAATTTTTTACCTTGATATTTCAGATTTTGCAAATAGTCCTACAGTGTATACATTATTTCTGTTATTTTTTTTCAGGCTTACAGCAGTGTTTCTGTTTTTAATTATGTTTTCACACTGGTAGTAGTCGTCTTTGAAAATAAGACCTATTAGTTCATAACACAAGCTATATTATATATATTTTCTTTTTTTAATATAGTTACATAATAGTAGGTTTTCATTGTCTTTTTTATAAACCCTTTGGTTTATCTGAGTTATATGAATGCTAGGTTTTAAAAAACATTTTTGTTGAGATGTAATTGACATCTTACAGTATAAGTTAAAAGTGTATAATATGCTAATTTAATATATGTGTATATTGCAATATGATTACGACCATAGCATGATCTACCACTGCAGTCATGTCACCTAATTGTAATTTTGGGGAGTTAATGATAATTAAAGTCTCTTAGAACTTTGAAATTTATGATACAGTATTGTTATTCATGTTCATTGAGTCAGTGGTTGAATAGCATCAACCAGCTCATCCTCATGTCCTCATGGACCTGAACAAACTCTGGGAGTTAGTGGAGGATAGATAAACCTGGCATGCTGCAGTCCATGGGGTTGCAAAGAGTAGGACACAACTTATCGACTGAACAACAACAGCAACAACAGTATTGTTATTCATAATCACTGTGTAGAGCATTAGATCTTTAGGTCTTACCAGGTGGCGCTAGTGGTAAAGAACCCACCTGTCAATGTAGGAGACATAAAGAGAGGCAGGTTGGATCCCTCGGTCAGGAAGATCCCCTGGAGAAGGAAATGGCAATCCACTCCAGTATTCTTGCCTGGAAAACCCTTGGACAGAGGAGCCTGGTGGGCTCCAGTCCATAGCATTGCAGAGTCAGACACAACTGAAGCAACTTAGCATACACTGTTTGCAAGCTTGTATCTCTTCACTCTTTCTTCTGGGGGAGAGGTCTCAGAGTTGTGTCCCTTCTACCAGTCTTTGTGAGTCGTGTTGGCTGTAGTGAGCCACACACGTTTTGTTTGTTTAACTGATGTCAGCTGTCCACACTGTGCTTGATTTTTTAGTGCTTTCTGTCTAGTCAAGACAGGAACAGGTTGTTTGGGCAGTAACATTAAATAAAGATCAAGTTTATTGGATGCATGTTATACTCTCTTTCCCTTAAGGAAGCAGTCATTGGCCATGTTGGTCTTTCTGATATTGAGCTGTGCTGTCTTGGGTGAGCTGCTGACCTTGGTAGAGTGAAATTGTTCTTTTTATGCATTATATTGTAGCTATTCTCAGTTTTGCATTTAATTTTTGTCCTGCAACTTCTTAACTGGATTTTGGTCTGCTCAAAGCAGTAATTTGGTCCATAGATCATTGTTAAATTGGTGTTTTTGTCAGGGATGAGGGCTAGGACTTCCTATTACACTGTTTTGCTGATGTCACTCTTTCTGTAGTGCTTCATTCTAACTACACATTAATTCAGCTTATTAAGCCCATGTCATTTTTTTTAATAGTTTTTCAAATAGGTGAAACCTCAAAAGGTATCCTGACATTTGCAAACTTCTTTCCTCTAAATTGTTTTACTGAACTTGCCAGCTAATAGTGTAATTTCTTAAATTTTCATTTTTCAGTAAATTAGATCTCCCTTTCCCCAAAATAGAGAAGTTCATTTTATGTTACTCATTAGTCCTTAGGTTTTAAGGAATGCCTACATTTTGGGGCTTATATTTAATGTTTTGACTTTTCCTGGAGAAGGAAATAGCAACACACTCCAGTATAACATCAAGTTGCATTTTATAGTTATTTTTTCACACTGAGTATTTTTAAAAACAAAATATTTTATTATTAAAAAAAAACTTTGTATAAAGTTTTGATTTTTAAATAAGGATTTTAGAAGATATTTTCTTTACATGATAATGCTCTCTTCACTGATGGTGTGTATTTTTATGAAGACATTAATAATATGTCAGAAACTACAATTTTAGTATGAGTGTTTTAATAAATGCATTGTAAACACTGTAGACTTGTTTGTTGTAGTAAAGCATACATGAAGTAATATTTATATATTAACCATTTTTAAGTGTATGGTTTCATGGCATTTAAGTAAATTTACAATGCTATACAACCATCACCACAGTCCATTATCAAGATGTTTCATCAGTCCAAGTAGGATCTCTGTTTCTATTAAGCAATAACTCTCTATTCCTCCCTACTCCCATCATTGGGAAGCCTTTATTCTACTTTCTGTCTCTGTATTCCAGGTACCTCATGTGTGTAATCATGTAACATTTTTACTTCTATTTCTGACTTATTTCACTTAGCTTAATGTTTCAATGTTTCGAATGTTCATCCATGTTGTCACATGAATCAGAATTTTATTCATAAATAGTAATTCCAAACTTGTGGAGTTCATTGAGGACGTAAGAAATTTAATATAAGTGGAGTGTCTGGCTCACAATGTAGGTGTGAACAGTACTTCTGTCCAATATTATCTGTGATGTCATACAAATAAGCTCAGATTAGCCATAATTCTAGTTTGTTTCTCTCTTGACTAGCCTCTCCTCTTTCAATTCCCAGAAATCCTTTAGTTCTTAGAGTGTCACAGCTTTCAGTTTTACTTTTTGCTGTTTTGTTCAGTTGAAACCAAGAGCCCCGACACATGTTTTGGGAAACTGATGGACACTAAACTATCATATCTTAGTACCACTAAGAATGCTTGTAACATCATTATAAGTAATTTATAACTACATACATATCTATACCTATAATGTATAATTAAAGAAAAATGCAACTTAGAACAGTTTCTGAAATTAACATGTATTGTTAGTCTGGGCCTCTTCTACAAAGAAGAAGTACTTTCATTTTTATGCAGTTATTACATTTTGAAAACAAATTTAATTCTAACCTACTATACATCATCTCAACCAGTGCTTTCATGTTAACAACTTCTGGAGTAGTTTCTTGTGTAATATGATCTTGCTGAACTTAACCATCTCTAACAACAATGTTCTAAATGACTAATTTTGTCAGTTACTGTGGTAGTCACAGTATTACTTCTTGCAGTCCAGCATATTTTCCTTGACCTTAAATATATTTTATAAGACTTTAGTTATAGTACCATATATTTCGTTAATGCCTGAGCTTCAGAGGATGAAGTAAAATTTCAAGAAAGTTTTATGGTTTTCTATATCAGTTGGAAATATTGTATGACCTTTTTTAGTAGTAATAGCAGTTATTCTCAAATTTCCCTGACGCGAAATAAGGCACACACAATTACTAAGATGCAACTTCACGATAAAAATAATGATTTAAGCTTTCTTAGGGGTGCACTGTTTCTACCATGTTTTGTTTTCATAGAAAGCAACTCTTTTTTTTTAAACTATTTTATTAATAATAAGAAATTCAACCTTTCTCAGAGGCCGACAGTCATGCCTTCTTTCTGAGTCCTTTAGTAAAACGGAAAATGAAAAAGGAGAAGGAAAAGAAGAAATCCTGTGTCCCCAGACCTAATAATATCAATAACATGACCATTATCAGCATGGTGGCCTGAAACCATGAAAGTTTTTTGAGAAATTATCTTGTTTAATTTTCCCAAAAAAGTCTTTAGCGAAGTCATGATATCCCCATTTTAAAGATTGTTGTTTAGTTGCTAAGTCGTGTCCAATATTTTTGTGACCCCATGCACTGGGGCCTGCCAGACTCCTCTGTTTATGGGATTTCCCAGGCAGGAATACTGAAGGGGCTTGCCATTTCTTCTCCAGGGGCTCTTCTCTACCCAGGGATCGAACCTCCATCCCCTGCATTGGCAGTCAGATTCTTTACCACTGAGCTACCAGAGAAGCCCATTTTAGAGATAAGAAAGCTGATTTTCAGAAAGTATAAGGGTAGCTCTCTCTAAATCAATATGCATGTACATTAAAGGTCTAAGATTTGAACCCAAGGTCATCCGATTCAACAATGAATACTCTGCAAATTCACTTCATTGCTTCATGAACATGATTTAATTAACATGAAGCAGTGATTGGTTTTCAGGTCTGGTTAGTTCATTATTGATGGAGTAAATCAGCATTTGTTACCAGAGAAATTTCTTCTTTTCATATCTGTGTTCTCCTTAATGTAGCATTATAGTATGATGAAATAGATGTTACTACCACACCTGAGTAATGCAGTCTGTTGGACAGACTGTTTGCACGTTGACAAAAGCTTTTTGCATTTATTACTTGAGTCATTAATATTGGCATTATTTTTGAATCAGTGTCATCTGTTTTCATATTTTTAAGAAGTGGAAGGGTCTTAAGAAGTTTGAAAGTTTTGTGGTACATACATATGAGAGAATATTTTAATAGCTTACCAATAGAACTCAGTAAGTTAACTTCCTTCTTACATTTGTGGCCAGTAACAAATATGACTCTGGTGGATAATATAGTGCCCTTCTGAAATACTGTATATTTTTAAACTCCAAGCCTTGTTTTTCTTTGATCACTTCAAATTCTCTGATGTTATCTCTTCAGTAGTAATGATCACTACCCTGAAAAATCTATGTGGCAAAATTGTTCAGCCTTACTACCACACATTTTATTTTGTAAACTCTTTCAAGATGACCATTCTTGTTGAGTTTATATTTGCTTCCTGGAAACTTTGAAGAGAGTATCTTTCAATGATTATGGGGCATTGTTAGTAGTTCTTAATAGAGGCCCATCTGTCCCCGTCTCTATGGCAATCATTTAGAGTAGTTTTTATTTGAAGTTAAATAGTTGGGTCTTAGTGTATCATTTACATGGAATGACTGTTACACATCACCCAGCAGCCTTTGCCTTTTATCATGCTGCTTCTTATTCCTCCCATAGCAGGGAAGAACCATGTCCTTCTGTCAGTTTCTTCCTAACACTATTTCTATCAGATATGGGAAACTTAATTGCTTATAGACTTACTTTCTCTAAGAGCCACTCAGAAAATTGGCAATACGTTTTCTATTGGTTTTCTTATTCTGGCTTATTTATAAAAAGTTGTAATATCAAGGAATTAATTTTAGTTATTTTAGTAGTTCTCTAAATCAATATGCATGTACATTAAAGGTCTAAGATTTGAACCCAAGGTCATCCGATTCAACAATGAATACTCTGCAAATTCACTTCATTGCTTCATGAACATGATTTAATTAACATGAAGCAGTGATTGGTTTTCAGGTCTGGTTAGTTCATTATTGATGGAGTAAATCAGCATTTGTTACCAGAGAAATTTCTTCTTTTCATATCTGTGTTCTCCTTAATGTAGCATTATAGTATGATGAAATAGATGTTACTACCACACCTGAGTAATGCAGTCTGTTGGACAGACTGTTTGCACGTTGACAAAAGCTTTTTGCATTTATTACTTGAGTCATTAATATTGGCATTATTTTTGAATCAGTGTCATCTGTTTTCATATTTTTAAGAAGTGGAAGGGTCTTAAGAAGTTTGAAAGTTTTGTGGTACATACATATGAGAGAATATTTTAATAGCTTACCAATAGAACTCAGTAAGTTAACTTCCTTCTTACATTTGTGGCCAGTAACAAATATGACTCTGGTGGATAATATAGTGCCCTTCTGAAATACTGTATATTTTTAAACTCCAAGCCTTGTTTTTCTTTGATCACTTCAAATTCTCTGATGTTATCTCTTCAGTAGTAATGATCACTACCCTGAAAAATCTATGTGGCAAAATTGTTCAGCCTTACTACCACACATTTTATTTTGTAAACTCTTTCAAGATGACCATTCTTGTTGAGTTTATATTTGCTTCCTGGAAACTTTGAAGAGAGTATCTTTCAATGATTATGGAGCATTGTTAGTAGTTCTTAATAGAGGCCCATGTGTCCCTGTCTCTATGGCAATCATTTAGAGTAGTTTTTATTTGAAGTTAAATAGTTGGGTCTTAGTGTATCATTTACATGGAATGACTGTTACACATCACCCAGCAGCCTTTGCCTTTTATCATGCTGCTTCTTATTCCTCCCATAGCAGGGAAGAACCATGTCCTTCTGTCAGTTTCTTCCTAACACTATTTCTATCAGATATGGGAAACTTAATTGCTTATAGACTTACTTTCTCTAAGAGCCACTCAGAAAATTGGCAATATGTTTTCTATTGGTTTTCTTATTCTGGCTTATTTAGAAAAAGTTGTAATATCAAGGAATTAATTTTAGTTATTTTAGTAGCCAGGTATTACTTAGCAACACAGCTTTTTCTAAGAGTCTTTGTATATTTAAAACACAGCAAAGCACACTCAATATCTGCAGCTAAAGCTGTTCAGTATGACTATCTTTATATGCCTCTCTGCAAGTCTTGATAGTTATAATCATACATAATTTTTGTTCCTCATCTCTTGGAGTAGGATAATAGCAAATAACATTTAAAGAAATCTCTTGGGCATTTGCTTCTGTGCAATTAAATTAATGACAAGATGCAGGTTGATCAATATAAAATTCCTCATTGTTCCTCTCTACACATGTTTATATGACTTGATCCCTTCTTTTTCCCCAAGTAGGTTTATAACTTTTACCTCTAAGTTTTATGTTTCATTTTAAGTAATTTTTTAACCGAAAAATGTGTATATACTAATACTATATGCAGCTAACAAGAAATCTTTCAACAAAACAATCATCCATTGCTGTGAAATAACTTTGGACTAACCAAACCCATATCATTTATATATTAACTACAGGTAAGCCAAGAAGATCAAAATACAAGTATTGAGTTATAGCAGCCTCTGGCTACGTGTAGAAGACCAAGTTATAGTAGGAAAGATAAAAGGGAACTTTAAATATACCTTTGAATTTATCAGCTTTTTTTTTTTCATTAAAAAAGTGTAATTGGTGTCTATACTTTCTCACTTTACTATTGACTTAATGTTCACAGTTAGAGAAACAGCATGGGCATAATTGAAACATTAAAGATAACATCTAGTATTATTCTGGTTTTTTAATCTTCATATTTTCTTTCTTGGTAGTCAAACAAAAATTTGGATATTTCAATTAATGCATCAAACAACTTTAATCTCAACATTACATGGTCGGTTGGTTCAACAGGTAAGAGAACTTTGTGGTCATGTGTCTTTTACTTCTGTTCTTATGTGTAAGGTTTCTGATATGACCTTTCTACTGTTAATTTAAATAATTGAAATAAAAATATTCTATGCCAGCATATTTGTGCTGTTTTAGGTAAAAATATTAAGTAGCATTATTAATAAAGTGTCATTATTCTGTTAACTTTCTCCCTAATTCAGTTAATATTAGGTGGATAATAGATATTTTACACTACTTATTTTTTTATATGGCAGTGTTATGAATTCCTGTGATTTTAATTAAGACAGATTACTTCGTTAATGACTAAAGAGACTGAGATTTCAATTATTTGACTCACCATTGAAGCTATAAATTTGATAACTTTAATATTGATATAAGACAACAAATTAAAAACAACAACAACAAATTATTTCTGTGTATGCTGGTAAATTATCAACTTACCTATTACCTTTAAGCTTGGATTTATACCCCCTATCATTGTTGGATTTGATTCTGAGAGAGGGTTAAAAAACCCTACACTTAATATTTCTTCCATAATAAGGTTTATAAATTGAAATTGCTCACTTTTAAGAAATACAAAAAGTACAAGTCTGTATGTTGGATTATGAAAAAGTATGCTTGCTGTTTTAAAGAAATGCTATTGGTTTCTACTTTCTATATAAAGGATATACTGTTGCATAAAAGTACTGAAAACTTTTAAAGAAAATATAGGAATCCTTAGAAATCCATATTTGATTTCTTAAAATTAAATCATGTTCTATTTTAATAAGTATGAATAGAATAATAGAAACATAATTCAAATGAGAAGAGGTCTTTGCAATTCCAGTTTTTATTTTACATATATAAGAATTGAAAACTTTAGATACATATGTACATATTTTGTTGCAATAGTGTAAACATATAGTGAAATCGTGACATTGTAAGTTTCATTAACTACGATTTCATGATAACTTGTACTGTTAAGGTGAAATTCTGTATAGCAAATTGACCCTACAAGAGTTTTAAAATTTGGCAACAAAAATATATAAAACCTCAGTAATCACTTTAGAACAGTGCCTTCAGTATGCAAGAGATTACTTGTAATTTTCAGATTCTCAAAACCAAATCTTCAATATTTTGATTTATTAGTTTGGAAGATGTCACCAGGAAACCTGCATTTTATAAAAGCATTCATGGTAATTTTGGAACAGATGATCGGTTAGAAAATAATTCAGTTGCTCAGTGTCCTAACTGTTCTTATCTTTAAGGCAAAGGGCTTTCTTCTGTTTGGTTAATTTCACTAAATATTTATTGAGTACCCAATAGGTGTTTAACTAATTGAACTTTTAGCTCATGTTTTAAATTATATCTTCCTCACACTTTATTCAAAATAGTGATGGTTCAGTACATGGTAAACAAAAAAAAATTGATTTCTTTTCCGTTTTTTAATTGGATTGAGACATGTTTTGAAAGGCTCTGTGGAGAAATAAGTAGCAAAACATCAGTTCCTGAAGCTAAGTATTACTTGAGTTTCAAAGAGGACTTTACTGTTCAGTAGCTATAAACTTGAGGCAACTGTCTTAATCTTTCTGAGGCTCAGTTTCCAATTTGAAAAACAGAGATGGAATACCTATGGGATAAAGTTTTTATTAGAATAGGACATAAAGTCTCTAAGTCAGTGCCTAGTATGTAGCACTTAAAATAATTGGTATTATTTTAAAAAATAGTTTTTATACTAAATCTGTTTCCATTATATTTATGACAAATCTTATTTCTTCCTTGTCATTCTACATTATAAACATGAGTTTATTTGCATAGTTATGTCCTTATAAGTACAGTTAGAAAAATTAAGTAAATATATATGTAAATGTTACTTTAATAAAGATATGTTTCCTTACTATGAATTATTTAAATTTGTTATTATTTACATTTTAGCTGGAACAATATCTGGAGAGGAGACTCCTATAGTTTCCAAGACTAATATAAAAGAATACAGAGACAGTTTTTCCTACGAAAAATTTAACTTTAGAAGCAATCCAAACATTACATTCTATGTATATGTCAGCAACTTTTCATGGCCTATTAAAATACAGGTAAGTGTTAATAGTATTTAATGACCACTGAATATTTTCATATGAGAAAGAATGCTGTTTTTGTTCAAAGATGTGATAAAGGTTTCTATATTTTGCACAATGTGAAGCATGTATTGATCCTTCATAGAAAGGATACAGTGGGTGTCTGTGATGATTAATGTCTTCGTAAAAAATGTTTGAACAAATAATACTGAATATGTACTAATAAGTATGTAATAATTTTTCAGTGTGATTATATTCTTAAAAAATGTATCAGAACTTGAAATAACTATGACATTTATATTTTCTGACTGATTTCATTCTTTTAGGGTTAAATAGATATTATTTTCTTAAAATCCCTTTTGAAATCATTGACATTTTTTAACAATCTTTATTATATATTGAACATAATTCAAATCATCGTGAAAAATTTAAAACTAGCAGTACCTTACAGTTAATTCTTTAAGGCTCACTACTTCTCACTACTGATTTCTTTATATGCTCTGTATATGTTGTATATTTTATTTTTATTGTGTTTAGTGATAGACTGCTAAAGGCTTCTGATTTATTGCTAGGGACATTTAGGATATTCTTACTATCTTAAAATAGTCCAGGTGTGTATTCTTAATTTATTCTTTTATGAAGGAAATATCTATGTGTTAAAATGTTTAGATTTATTTATTCATTCTTTTATGATTGTTTGATTAGATTGAGTTCAGATTAATTTATTAAATAGCTCATGTGTGCCAGACCCTACGCTGAGCCGTTATGTTTTGTGATCTTTAAAAAAATTACAGATAATCTATTCTTTTTTATTAATAAATGACCATTTTTGATTCGTGACTAGAAAATTTTGCATGCTTTATCAGTTTCTGTGTGATTTGTGGGAAGACAGTGACTGTTAAAAATTGTATACTTGCTTGAAAAATTTTGATTTGTAAAGTTGATTTCATGTCTAAATTAAGGAAATTACTTTTTCAGGAAATATTAGTATAAATTACTACTCAGTAAGTAGTAATGATAATTAATTTGATAAATTTACTTCTTTATTGTGATTGAATTAGATGTTAATATAGTAAAAATATGTCAGAAATGTTTTCTTATGGGTTTTTAGAATTTTGACCTTTAGGATGCTGGAGGCATCATTTTTTTATGATTTATATAGAAATATTAATCAGATTTCATTTGTTTTATTCAGATTATGATTGAAGGTGATAAAAGTCTCATCCATGAGCTTATTAAATAGTAATTAAAATTGAAAGAATTGCTATATTTCTGATTGTTTCTTGCCCTTTATTTCATGGTTATCTAATTATATTTTATTTTTAAGCAAATTCCACACTTTAGAATGGTCATGAATATTTAATGATTAGAAATTAACTTTCTAAATTGGATTTTCCTTTGAGATCATACTAGTAGTGTGTTCTAGAAGCTAAACCAGAATTTCTATAATGAAATTAAAATATCCCACTTTCCCAAAGTAATAAAATGTTGAAAATAGCTATGATGGTCAAGATAGGTACATCCTAATTCCTACTCTTAGAGTAAAATCATTATATCAATCCTATGGAATATGTTATGTTACTATTAAGGCTTATGAGTATGTGTGTTTGTTTATACAACTATAATAAGCTTTCTGTTTTTAAGTGTAAAATAATAAAATTATTTTAATTGAGATCTGTTTGCTAATAGAATTGAGTACATTGATTTATTTTTGAATGACGAGCCAATCTTGGTAATGAGGGGTAAACTCCACTTAGTCATTTTGTATTACAACTTTAATATATTGCTGGATTCAACTTGTTGAAATTTTATGAATTTTTATGCCTATGTTTTTGGGGCAAATCAGTCTATAGTTTTCTATTCGTTCAGTCTTACTAACTTTGTAGGATGGTACTACTGGCCTTACAAAATAAATTGGGAGTGTTCTTTTTTATATCACAGTTCTTTTGAGTACTTTCAGTTATAATGTTTCTATGTATGTTTAAACAGATTTAACAGATCACAATTTTAAAAGTATTACATGAATAAGGAGACACTTTAATTGATACTTAAGAAAGCAGAAAAGTACTTTATCTGGTTTGATACAATTTGGATCTAATTTTGCTATTAATGAGAAGAATCTTAGTAGCGTGATAGTAGAATTTTGTGTATTTCTGAAAAATTAAGAAAATAAAAAGAATTGATAATGATTGTTATTTATTCAGTATCTTCCGTATTTAATCAGTCAAAGGCTAATAAAAAGTAGTGCTTCCTATGGTAATGGTGGATATTGTACACTTATATAAATTTTTGGCTATACTATCCAGCAAATGTTTCTTAAGTTTCAGGCACAGACAGGATATTTTGCTAGGGGATGAAATAGTACTGAAAGTATTCTCCACTGTCAAGTAGCTTGAAAAATCTTAATCATCATTGTCTCAGTTATAGGTAAAGAAATTCAACTTTAGATTAGCTTTGAAGTAACACAAGACGTTATAGACTTAAAAAGCAAGGCATCCAATGGAACTGTCTTTGGGAAGCTCAGGAACTCAGTGTCTCCTTCTATGACCATCTTAAATTAAAGATGCTTCCCTTTAATTCATTCTTTATACCACGTTATATAAATAATTATTGAATTGGCTTATTCCCTTTCTGTCTCTAGGTTCTATTTTACAAAGTATATAGACTGAATTCTATTCTAGTTGGATTGATAGAATTCTGATTTAGCTATCTCAGACAGAAACGGGGAAAGACTTTCTCCTATATTGATATGAAGTTTCAGGGACATTATTTTAGTTTTGTTTATGTTATGAAATATTTTCTGAGCTATTCATTTTGGTTAACATCAATGTGAATGTTATTTGTGAGTTGAGGTGTCTATTGTATATCCTACCTTTGTTACTGTTACAGAGGTGGTTTTGAAGCAGGAAATCTTGAAGAGAGTTATATTGAAGCAAAATACTGAAGGAAAAATAGGAGTTCAGGACCTGATGCATGGCAAGGAATTCTAGGCAAGAAGGATGGGTTTTCAAAGTTTAATTAAAGAATTTTCATTAGAGAGCAAATAACTTTTTTTGTTTGTTTGTTACTGAAAACCAGCTTGTAGGATAGAAAAGTGTTGATGTAAGATGATTGGTCTGGTCAAAGAGGTACATTTTCCAACAAAATCTGAAGGATTTTACTGATATTAGTTTGGAGTCAAAAGAAATACTACAGGGAGAACATAAAGCAGGAGTTAAAGTGATCTCAGATATAATCTATGAAACCTGAGAGCAAAGAAAAGTAACAGAAAAGGTAAACTTAAATGAAAATTGGATTAAAAAATAGCTCATGGAGTTTAAAATATGTGTAGAAAAACAAATAGATGGTGAAAGTAATGTGAAGAGTGAGGGAGTAAATAACCCTAAAGCAGTCTAAGGTGTCAGCATATCAATGACATGGCAAATGTAACAAATCTTAAGTCTCTTATTGTTATGACTTCTAGGGTAAATCTAAAGAAGAATAAAGGAAAGAATGAAATAACAAGTTGATTGAGAAGAGTTGATGAATAGAAATGTTTTATGAGCTCACAGGAATGTGTGAAAAGAGAAAAAAGGTACATAACAAAGGGTTCAAATAAAAATTAAATAGTAAAATGATAAATACAAGCCTAGCTATCTCAGTAACTATATTAACGTCAGTAGACTAAACACACCAGTTAGAAGCCTAAATGTGTCATACAGGGTTGAAAAAATACTGATAATTTTTAAAGGAGATACACTTTAGATACAATGATTCAAAATGATTGAAAGTAAAATTATACCAAAATTATGGTAGACTAAAAGAAAACTGAATCATACAAAGTACACTTTAAAGCAAAGACTCACTGCTAGAGTTAAAGGGGTATGTTTCACCAAGATGAAGAGGTAACAGACCCACTGGAAAGATGGCACAATCCTGAATCTGTATGTGCCTAAAATGTAGCTTCAGAATGTATGAAATTAATGAAAACAGATTGCTATTTAACAGTCCAGTGAAGTAGTACTTAATTGTCATTGTTGCTGTTTAGTCTCTATGTCATGTTTGACTCTTTGCAACTGCATGGATTGTAGCTGGCCGGGCTCCTCTGTCCATGGAATTTTTCAGGCAAGAATACTGGAGCGGGTCGCCTTTTCCTCTTCCAGGGGATCTTCCTGACTCAGGAATTGAACCTGCGTCTCCTGCATTGGCAGGAGGATTCTTTATGAACTGATGAGAAAATTTTAAAGTGGTTGTTTGGATTGGAATATTGTATTATTTTTAATATTCTCTTTTAAAGGATAATTTTAAGCAGAAATTGATGACATCTTTGCCACTTACTGGAGCACAAATTCCTTTAGATATACATATTTATAGTTTAAAAGAGCAGAAAACAGACTATAAGTACGATTATAAACCAATTCTAAAATTCCAGAAAATTGTCACCTTTCTCGATCGCTGTAATGATAGGCTGCTACGATTTATATGTATTATGTCATGTATTTTGAAAATCAGACAGCTAGGATGTAGCAAGCAGCTTTAAGCCATACCAGTCAGTTTGTCAGTAATAATGTCCTAGTTACCATGCTGGTGGATCCTGCGTAGTCCTTATGCTATTCAGGTCTCTGTGGCGTTTCTCACTGATTTTTTTTTTTTCATTCTGAACTACTTTTTTCTCTGATTTCTGTTCAATCTGTCCATCCCCCATTTGTGATCTCAGTTAAGTTATTCCTTTGCCTCAACTTCAGCTACCTCATCTATACAATAAAGACAGTAGTGCCTACATCATAAGGTTATCATGATAATTAAATGACATAATTTTGTAAAATAGAACCCTACCTGTACTATAGTAAATAATTGCAGTAAGCAGTAGATAGGTGGTCATCATTTTCTCCCTCCTCAGCACCACCATCATCATTGGTATGTAAGAGTGTTTTTAATCTTCTTATCATATATCTCACCTGTTTAAGTTCTTCTACAATTTCTCATACCATTTAAGATAAATGGTATTTATTTTACTTGTCTATAGTAGGTTGATATCT